AGATGCTCGTCATTTTTTAAAACACGTGACTGAAAGTCATCTGATTTTCAAATAAAACATATTAATGACATGCAAGCTCATTAAATATTTTTACAATTTTTCAGAAATGTCTTTTATGATTGGTGCCTTGTGCATAACAATGAAACTATGTACCCTGATAAAATAAAGCGTAAAAAGTTGAAACATTAAAAAAGCTATAAAACAATAGTGCTACTCAGTTTAATCTTTATTTCGTCATGTAAAAATAATAAATATTGAAAAAAATTTCAATTTTATTTAATTAGGGGTACAATGGCTCAAGATCAGTTTACCAATCTTCTAGTTATATCTATTGAGTATGATCTTGTAAAAACGTTTTCATGAAACAGACTATAGAATAGTTTTTGAGATTATCAAATCATTTCTTTTTAACCGGTTTATTAAAGTCATCCTTGAAGGCCAACACTCTTCTTTATTTCCAGTAACTTCTGGGGTTCCCCAAGGTTCCATCCTGGGCCCTGTTTTGTTTCTTATCTACATAAATGATCTTCCTGACAACCTTTCATCTAAAGTAGCTCTTTTTGCTGATGACTCAACTTTATACTCCTGTCTTGACAAAAAGTCTTCTCTTTTCGATCGCCTAGAACAAGCAGCTGATCTTGAATCCGATCTCACTTCAGTAATAGATTGGGGTTCACAGAGACTTGTGAATTTATCACTATCAAAACCCAATTGTTTACTCCAAACAACTACCGTAATATGGTCAACATATTAATGAATTGTCAACTATATTAATGAATGGCAATCCTCTTACTGAGTCCTCCTCTTTACGTCTTTTTGGATTATCGCTTACTACTGACCTTTCGTGGAAACCATATATACAATCGATTGCTAAATTAGCTTCTGCTAAGGTTGCTTTTCTTTATTGTGCTCGCCATTTCCTTACTTCTGATTCATTCTCTACCTCTACAAATCTCTTATTCGTCCCTGTATGGAATACTGTTGTCATATTTGGGCTGGTTCTTCTAACAATTCACTTCTTCTTGACAAGGTCCAAAAACGCATTGTAAATGTTGTTGGACCTGGACTATCTGCTAAGCTTGAACTTCTTTCCCATCGTCGTAAAGTTGCATTTCTTTCTCTTTTCTACAAATACTATCATGGTCACTGCTCAAAGGAGTTATCATCTCTAGTTCCATCAACTAAAATTTATTCTCGTTTTACTCGTCATTCAGCTAAGTCTCATTCGTTTACTGTATCTGTCCCTGCATGCTCTAAAAATTTTTATTCATCTAGTTTTTTTCCCCGCACTTCAATCCTTTGGAATTCTCTCTCATCTTCATGTTTTCCTGACTCATACAACCTTCAACTTTTTAAGTCTTTTGTCAACCGTTTCCTTGCTATAACTCTCTTCTTTATATCTATAACTCTGTTCTTTTTTTTTCCTAGTAACTCCCAACTTAATAGTGGTTGCTTGCAGCCTTGTTGGGAGTGAATGCAATTAAAAAAAAAAAGAATAGCTAAGAAACTTTAAACTTACAGTTTAAAGTTTTTATATATTATAATAAAGATCAGTTACTTATCTGTTTGTTATTTTTTTTTTGTTTTTCTATATGTAATTTTCTTAATCACTCAGAACTTCTCTTAAAGTTTTGTTTTGAAAAGATTCATTTAATTGCAAAGTAAAATGATGATACATTTTAAAGCGCATGTGTATATATATATATATATATATATATATATATATATATATATATATATATATATATATATATATATATATATATATATATATATATATATATATATATATATATATATATATATATATATATACACATATATTAAATGACAACATCTTGTATCAATGAATACAAATTCTCTCAATGAATACGAATTCTCAATGATCAATGAATACGAATTCTCTCAATACTAATTTTTTTTATTTAATCTAAGAAATTTTGGCTAGATTAATGATACTAGCATCTTCAGCTTTAATTACAAATTATTAATTAAATTCAATTACAAACAAACGGCAACGTCACTTTTTAATGGCTTCTTTAAAATTCGCTTTAATTGGGCTTCTTTAATATTACATTGGTAAAAAAAATATGGCGTCAAGAATTGCGTTTTTACATATTGACCATGATCTAAATTCATACCTCTGTTCTTAGGTCTGCATTTGTTAAATTAAATTTTGATTGCCTCTCAAACTTTTCTTTCAAATTTTTTGGTTCTACTTTTAACGTTTTTACTTGATCCCATTTTATATTACATGGACATTTAATTTTATGATGCCCAATTGCAGATTGTTCCAATTTTTCTTCAAAAACATTTTTTTGGTGTTGTTTTGTTGTTGTTGTTTATTTCATTTTTGTTTCACCAATGTATTTTTGTTCACACTCGCATTCTCTTAGGTATACTCTGTGATAGCTATTTGATGGTAGTTTTGTTTTGTTGCGTAAAGTTAGCAAAGATTTAAGATTTGCACTAGATTTAAAGACTGCTATGTAACCTGCTTTCCTAAAGATTTTTTGAAGTTTTGGTGATAATATTGGGATCCACGGTAGTGATAGTTGGCATGGTTGCTTCGTTGGTTATTTTCTTTTTAATTTCGCTTTTAGCTAAGTTGTCTTTATTTTTTTTTTCAACTTTTCATAATTTTTCTATGAGTGATGAGCTGCCACCCCCTAAATGTGTATCATGTTGGGTCTCAAAAGAAGTGAAATTTTATGAAAATTTCAAAAATAATAAAAACAATTTATGGAAATACAAATTAAGTAAGTTTATTAAATAAAAACTTTATAAATATGTACTTTTAATTTTTTGTCAAAAAATTAAAGTTTTTAGGCCATAAAATTTAAACTAGTAATATTTATTTAAAGTGTTATTTTTAAAATTTTTATAAAATTTCACTTCTTTTGAGACCCAACATGATATACTTTTGAAGAACTTTTTTTTTCAAAATATTAGGGATGCGTTTGATGTTTAAGGGTCTTGAGCAACCCCTAAAAATTTTATATATATATATATATATATATATATATATATATATATATATATATATATATATATATATATATATATATACATATATATATATATATATATATATATATATATATATATATATATATATATATATATATATATATATATATATATATATATATATATATATATACTATTTTATTTTTCAAAGCGCCCATGATTTCTGGTGATACGTCAGATGAGGAATCAGATGAAGAGAGTAATGGAACCTCTTGGAGTAATATGCACAACAATGCTGTAGTTGGCAGTGAACTTGGTGCTAATATACCATCATCCTCTGTGTCTAATTCATCAGAGTATCATCCACAGTTGGGAGGCCCATTTTCAGCACTGGTGCAGAGCATGTGGCCTCAAAATATATTATCTCAAATTCAGCAGGTTTTTTAAAAATATTTTGTTTTTTTATAGCACATGTTTCTGTTTAATGTTGTTTTTTCCGTTTATATTTAGAACTAATATTAGTGATTTATTTTTTAAAAGGAAGAAAAAATGACATGTCAATATGATGAATTTGGTTTTCGTATTGAACAAGGTAAAATTGATTTTAATAAACTACAATTCTAAAAAATATATATATTTTTTAAGATTTTTGCTAAACTGATTGCAGACTGCAATGAATTGCAGGAGATCTAATAAAATTTTTTAAAATTATTAGACCATGTTCAAGCCTTCCAGGTAAGCGTGTGAGTTTAAAGTATTTTTTTTAGAGACACTGACCACAGCAGTTAGCATCTTTTAACTTATTATTAAAAAATAAATTAAATAACAAAGTATTTCCTTAATATACTGACTGAAAAAAGTTGCGAAAAAATTGTATATCAAAAAATGTTTTCATTTTTGTTATATTCTTATCTGCTTTTTCCCTCGACTTTTATTGGTTTTGGTAGTGAAAAAGAAATGCCATAAAAAAAAAAAAAGAAAACAAAAACAGTTAATTTTTTTGTTTATAATATTTTGAGATCATTTTTTTAATAATATACAATTTTTTTTAGCTTGTTTTATTTAGATTTTTCTATTTTGTAATTTTTTTTCTTAAAGCATTGCTGTTTAATTCTCTCTAGTTTCCTATAGCTTTATTTTGCCGCAAGTTTTTAAAATGCTTACTATATCAAAATGTGGTTATGTCGTCTAAAAGAATTACTTTAGGCGTGAACGAACGTTAAAAGTGAACCGCTTACACTTTTAAAGTGTTTTAATTTAATTATTTGAGTTAATGTTCAAGCTACACTAAGAATCCACATGACTTGATATATCTTTTAAATCATTTTATAATGCTGTTTTTTAAGAATCAAACAAAACCGATCTTGATTATAACTTGGGTGGGACTTTTGAAGATCCCTCTATTAGATTACGATGGACTGCATATATCGAAGCATCACAAAAAGGAATTGTTGGAGATTTGACATGGGATAAGGTATTATTAAAAATTATAGAAGCATACTTTTTAAATTACTTTTTCTTTCTTTTTTTAAATAATTTTTTTTTAAGAGACTATAAAAATGTGAAATAAGTAAAATAATAATAACATGAGTCTGGATAAGAAAGAAAGTCTGGATAAGAAAATTGAATTCCAATAATAGACAAATAATAAAGTTTTAATTGAACAAATATTTTTTATTGCTCCACTCAAAAACTTTTTAAATTATTTTTGTAGTTAGCTTTTTAATTATTAATGATATTATAATTATTATAATTATTATTATTATTTAATTATTGTTTGTTAAATTTAGTTATATATTATGCCAAATATATATTTCTCTGGTCGGCAGACTAAAAAACCATAAGTCAAAATTTACTTTTTTTTTTATATATAATTTCAACGTGACTGTTTTTAAGGAATACATAACTGTACAAAAGCACATCATCAAAAGCTTGTCAGAAATTTATGTATACAATGCAACTCAGCAATTTTTTTTCAACAAATTATTCAGATAATTAAAGAGTACAAGCGAAAAAACGGAAAAACATTTTTAATAAAAATTACAAAAGTTTTGTAAACTTTAGATAACTCACGCAAGAAACATTTTTTTTCTTTCCAGTTTTTAGACTTTTTTACTTTATATTAAGACTTTTATAAATGATCAATATATACTTTTTCAAAACTTTTTAAATGCTACTATGTTTTTTTGTGCACTTCAATTACGTTGACTTTTATTATATTTTCTGTTTCTCCTGTAAAGTTACGATTTTGGACTTATGTGCTTAATCCACCCACCCTAGATTTACTTATTTTAGTTTTAACTTATTTTTATTTTTCATTACATGTTGGATGCTATGATTGATCATTAAGCACTTTTTTGAAAACACTTTTTTTTAAAAACATGCTTGGCTTACTTGAAACATTTAAAACAAGGTTTACTTGGCTTACTTGAAACATCTTAAACAAGGTTTACTTGGCTCACTTGAATTATTTAAAACAAGGTTTATTTTGTTTACTTGAAACATTTTAAACAAGGTTTACTAGGTTTACTTGAAAGGTTTTAAACATGATTTGACTTAAGCATGTTAGAATACATTTGAGGGGTCATTAATAAAATATGGAAATGCACAAATTTTTAACAGGTAAAATGCAGGAATAATGTACAGAAATAAGTTTAGGAGCTCGGATGCTTCAGACAAAGGAGTGTTGCTACATAAACTGAGGGTTTGGGTTGGGGCAGCCTAAAATTGTTAGGGCTTATAAAAATTTGTTCGCACTTTATTCTTGCATTTAACTGTTGAAAATTTTTGCATTTTGCATTTCCACACCCCCAACCCCTTTAAGAAGTTAGTTGCATTAAGGTTTTGGTTGTATGATGAATTATGAGCATTATGTACTTTGTACATTGCATTAACAATTTTTATTTGTAAGTAAAGTTTACTGTATAGCAGTTAGGGCATAATGGATCTGGCAAAATAATTAGAATGCGGATCCTACCTGGATTTTTGAGACTAGGATCCGGATCCAAATCTAAGTTTAACTTAAAGGGATCCCAAACTCCCGACACATGTTGTGTTCATATTAAAGATAATGTTAAAAAAAAGGTTTGAACCAAGTTTTTTTGATTAAAAATAAATAATGAATGCATACCGTGAAAAACAAATGTTGTTGTTTTTGCCGAAGCTCGCCTTCTCCATTTTTTCCAATAAATCGGAGTCTTCAAATTATGCGTTGCAATCTACAGACTTTGGCAATTCCTTTGAAGTGCGTTTAATTCATAAAAGTTTTAGTATTTGACGTCATGGTAGACTTTTAACAAAAGGAAAGTGTAATTAAACTAAGCTGCGTTTTTCTACTGTAGTATTTTTTTAATATACAGCAAAACAAATTTATTTGTATTTTTTTTCTAAACATCGCAAAAAAAAAAAATTTGTAAAAAGAAAAAATGATAAATTATTTTTATTTTATAGGAGCAACTTGTTTTTTACAGATATCTTAATAATTTTTCGATTTATATATCTTACTTATATTTCTTTTGTTTTTAAATTAAAACAAATATTAAAGCTTTACTTACAAATCTTATGATTTTCATACGAGTGTTTAACATTATATAGAACGTTATGTATACTGTCTCTCGTTTTTGTGCAAGAGAGCGCAGTATTATATATTCTGAATCTTACTTATTTTTATTTAAACAATCAGAACTTTTTTCTAACTTCTCTGGTTATTTTTACGCTATGATATTTTTTGTTTTCCTGTCGAAAAAAAGTATTAACAATTAATTTCATAAGCTGACAGTATTAATTAGAGATATATGATGAATTGTTAACTTTTTTTATTATAAAAATTTTTTGATTACGCTGATTTATTTTAAATTGCTAAATTTGCTAAATTGGATACGGATAAAAAGGAAATATCATTTTATTTTACATTTGATTTTTGATAATGAAATGTCGGCAACTCCATACCAATTAGAACCTGTTAAGGTTATGAAAAAAAAATACAAAAATACACTAAACAATACAGTTGACAGTAGTATCAGATATGCAAATTCGTGAAAGGATTTGTGAGATCTTGGTTTTGCATTAAAAGTACAATTAATAACAACACAAATCGGCATTATAAATTTTGAGTATTAGTTTACTGTTCAATATTTTATAACCATCAAATAAAAACATGAGGTTTGGTATTTTCGCCCGTTTTATACAACTAATATTTAACAAAAATACGGACAAATTATTTTTATATAACGCAATAATTAACACATTAATTAATGGCAATAATTCAAGATAAATGGTAATTTAAATTGTCAAAATGTCATAACGCGCGTTGAAAAACATATTATATTAGGTATTTCCCAATTTGTATCGTATTTGGCATTTGTCTCTTAACATAAAAAATTTTAAAACACAACAAATACAAATTTTCAAGCAATTTTCTCTTCCAATTTTCATTTATTCAAAGAAAATTTACTATTAAACTTTTATTTCTCTCATCTAAAAAAAGAACGAGTGACGCAAAAAAAAAAAAAAAAAAAATTCTATACAACTCTTTTTTTCATTCGAAGTTTAATTATGCGAAACTTTTCTTTCTCTTTTGTTCTACTCTTTTATAAAAAGAGCGAGCGATGAAATAAAAACTTTTCTTTCTTAACATAAATTTATACTTAGAGATAAAATTAAATTAGAAATAAAGCAACAATGAACAAAGCAACTAACAGATTAACCTGGGGCTATTTTGATATTAATGAAAATAATCAACATAAACAACATTACCAACAGCAATTATCAAATAAACAACACAATATCGCATAATTTTAGGGGCTTTTTATATTTATTGCTTAGTCGTTCTAAATAATAAGTAAATTTAGTTCAAGTTAATATTTCAATATTTACAGTTGCAATATAATAAAGAAATGATGTTTTAATGTTGAACTTTTTATTTAATTATTTATTTTTTACCTACATATGTTATAAAAACTTTTAAACCCCCGTCATTAAAATAATATGTTTTAAATATATTTCAAAATGATTATTCAAACTAATTTTTTTCGCTTGACTCCCCGAACTTCATGCAAAGCAAATTGAGACGAAATATTATCTAACCAAATAAAAATGCTTTTACTAATTTTTTACGGGTAATTAATGTAAAACATTTTTTTATCAGAGTCTTGATTGAAATAATAAATATTCATAATTTATAAACATTAAATATATAGCGCAATAACAATTTATAGCAACGAACCAGCATAAAATATTTAAGGTTTTTGATATCTTTTTAAATATTAAAAGTAGGAAAAAAAAAAAACTAAACAAATAACCAAAAAAACTTCGACTAAAAATAAATAAAAATATTTCCAGAGTTTCTTTTGTTAAAAGTCTACCGTGACGTCAAATACTAAAACTTTTATGAATTAAATGCGCTTCAAAGGAATTGCCAAAGTCTGTAGATTGCGACGCATAATTTGAAGACTCAGAATTATTGAAAAAAATGGAGAAGGCAAGCTTCGGCAAAAACAACAACATTTGTTTTTCACGGTATGCATTCATTGTTTATTTTTGCGTAGTGGTGTAGTGGTAGAGCGCTCACTTCATAAATGAGTGGTTCCAAGTTCGACCCCCACCACATCCCTGGTAGTACCGCGCTCAACTTGTTTCTCCGCGCAGTGGCCTTGTTCATCAAGGTTTGTGTTTCGGAGTTATAGAGTTGAGAGAGGGTTATAACCACAAATAAGTAGCCTCCTCGTCTGTAGTGGCCTTCTCGGCCTTGAGGAGGTGAATTAAATAAAAAAAAATTAAAAAAAAAAATTTTTAATCAAAAAAACTTTGTTCAAACCTTTTTTTTTAACATTATCTTTAATATGAACACAACATGTGTCGGGAGTTTGGGATCCCTTTAAAAACATATAAAAAAAACTATTTTACACACAATTTTTATTGATTTTTAAAATCTATTACCACAGTTAATTTTGTGAAATAAGTGCTTTGTAGCATTTCATATCAGCAAATCTATTTTAGTTTCAATTTTTACCACTTTTATTATTGTAATATTAACTATTTAAAAAAATAAGGTATCAATAGTGTTATTGTTTAAGCTACTTCTAAGTTAGGTTACAAACACTCTGCATGCACTAAAAGCTTGTTTACTCTCAACAGAAGTTGGTCAGATAGTTTGAAATAAATTTGTTAAATTGGGAGTCATTTTTTTTTGTTGGCTCAAAACAGAAAATTCTTTATGGAGAGATTTTATACTGAGATCTTTATTGTATATGTAGTGTTACTAACAATATCATTATTAATTTCCAGTTTGATTTCACTCAACGTTTTTCTTACTATCTCAACAAGTTTTTCAGATGGCATGCTCCCAACGATACATCAAGTCCAAGATAATAAAGGCTTCCATTAGTGTGCACATTAGAGTTTATATAACGAAGTGAGTTAGATGAAGTATCTTCATAAACAGTTAAGCCAAATATGATTTTTTCTACTACAATCAGAAAATCAAATATTTGTATAATTTTTTACAAAAAATATTTTTGGTTAAGTAAAAAGTTATTTAAATATATATATATATATATATATATATATATATATATATATATATATATATATATATATATATATATATATATATATATATATATATATATATATATATATATATATATATTTTACTTGCTTTATTATTACTTTGTTTTAGAAGCCAGCCAAAATCATGTCACAATTTTACATATTTTTTGATTATTCAAATAATTCTGATTGTTCGCAGGCAGAGAAAAAATAAAAGCAGAAATAATTAGTTTTTATGGTTTAATAGAGTTGTTTGTTTTATATTTACTTTTACATTTAAATATGGTTTAACTCTTTCACTACCGCCAGCTTCTGGTAGCGGTGTTCGAGTATGCTTTACAAATTATCTTATTTTGTACATAAATTTCCATTCAGACACATGTTCTTAAGATTTAATTATTTCTCTGCATAATAAAAATGTGTAATTATAAAAAAGTTATCACTTGACAAAGTTAAAAAATCTTGAATGATCCTTTATAATAAAAACTTCTTTAAATTTATAAATTTTATAACTATAATTTTTTTAAAATTATAGTTATAATTTTAAAATTAATTTTTAACTTATAAAATAAAACAGCATTAACTCTGTAAAATTCTTTTTATTCATTAAATGAGTTTTGTTTCGGACTTAATGTTTTAGTTACTATTTATAAAAAATAATGGTTTTAAGCACTTTGCATTTCTTATTGTTTAATAATGCGTGTTAAAAACTCAATTAAAACGTACTTTTGTTTAGCTAATATTTTAATTGATATAAAGTTTGCTTTTAAAGAGATTTACTATTCGAATTTTAAGTCAATGTTATGCCACTCAAATTGTATTCAAAAAAATGTGCGATCGCTACAAAAAGACTTTTGTTTGGCTGGTGGTGAACAAGTTAATGCGCTTCTTCATTTTTATACTTATATTATTACTTTTTTTTGTATATTTTAATACAAACATAACTTTAATTTAGTTTGGTTTGTATGGTTATTAGTAAAATAATTTGTTTAATATTTATTTTCTACTTAGTTCAGTTTATATGTTTTATTCAAGTCACTCGTTTTTTATTCAGTTTATACTTTAAATTAATTTATACGTTTAGTAAAATTATTCTTTTAGTATCTTGTTTATTTTTAGTTTAAGCAAATACGTTTTACTGCAAATATTCGTTATATATTAAATTTTTATTTTTGTAAATTTTATAAATTTATTTTTTAATTGTATTACAAACTTTTTTTTGGGATTTAGGAAAAGATATACAATTAAAATGATTTGGTGATTGTGGTAAAAAAATAATAGATCTTAAAAGAAAAGTTTATACGATAGCGTCATATACTGAAATTGTTATGAATTAAACACGCACAGAAACAATTATCAAGTCTGCAGATTGCGGCTAACATTATACAGACTCCAAGAACAAATAAAAAATGAAGACAGCGAGCTTCGACTGAAACGTGAATTTTAAAATTAATGGTGTGGCATTCATTATTTAGTTTTAATCAAAACTTTTAAACACAACTTGTCTCGGCAGTTGGGGATCCCTTTAACAATTGAAAAAACTCTTTTGACTGCTGCATTAGTACCAGGGCAGCTCAACACACATTCAACAAGAATAGCTAAACTTTCATGTGGAATGTGTTCATTTTTGAAGTAATTAAATAATTCCACCCATCTTTTATCAATTTCAGTATATTCATTTTTCCATAGTTCTAATTTATCTAAAATTAAATATAAATTTATTCTTCTTATTTCATCATACAGACTATTGTGATTGACTTTAATATCAGGGATTGCTGTTGATAAAAACTTAACACACTTTTCAATACCTACCCAAATTACTTGTGAATTCAAAAAATACTATTGAAAACCTTTTTATTCTGTGATATTTGTTTCATACCATTCTTTGACATATTGGAAGCATGTTTGATAAAAATTCTGAACTTATTTAGTAGATTTATCTCTTACCTTATGATTTGATTTATCTAAATTTAATAATTTTTTTTATCAATACAGGGATAAAACTATTTTTAATTTATGGTTTATATTAAATGATAAAACCGTTTATAATAAGACTAACTTCTGCAGCAGATATTTTATCGCTTTCAATCTTTTGAATCATTTTGTGAAATAAAGCTGTCTGTGTGCAAAATATATAAATATTTCTGATAATTCATTATTGAAAAAAGATTCCAGAATTTCTGGACATTTTTCTAATTTTAAAAAATATGAATGGAGGGGCTCAAAAAATTTAAAAACAAGCTTGATAACAGGTGTTAAAGCAAACAATCTAACTATCGAATATCCTAAAAGTTTTTTGTATTCAACATTTGCAATATTGTTTCAAAGTAACCACGCAGACAGTAAATAACTAAAATATAAATAAACTGTGGTTATCATAACTTCTACATCAATTAGCAGTGCACATGTTGCTGTGTTGATTGCACTTGACAAAATATGTGCATTGCATCTAATTCCTAGTATTTTCTTTTTAGTCTTGTTAAATTGCCCACCAAAATTTGTATTTGTATTATCACCTGTTAGTGCAACAACTTTAGGTTTCAAATTATTTTCATTTATAACCCTGTATAGGTCTTATGACAAAATGTCAGCAGTTTCACCCATAATAGATTCTAAATTTAAAATACTTACTTGAATGGCTTTTTTTTTGTAACATGAAAATACCTTACTAGTATTGGATACAACTTGGTTTCATTGTGATTTGAGGCATCAGATAAAAATGTTACAAATCTTACAATTTTAAGTCTTCTTTAAGTACTTTATTACAGTAATTATTTACAGTTATTATTTTTAAATACTATAATGATGAATAAATTTTAACCTTTTTATATTTTATCCTAGCACATGAAAATTAAGCGTTATGAAATTTTTTCATTAAATTATTTAATTAAAGTGTAATCCAACTTTAAATATGAATTATGGTATGCAAATGTTCCCTACATCACAGCTAACTGATTTTCAACCTCAGGATAATTAGAAGTTTTAATAAAATTTGTTACTTTACTATTGGAAGCTGAAGCATCTAATGATTTCATATGTTTATTAGTGTTTAAGTGTTTGGTTATAGCAGTTCTCCCTCCAACTGCAATACAAAATTCTCCTCTGCAAGTATTACAAAAAATAATGATTTCTCTCTGTTATAGTAACTATTTTTATTAATGTCATTGTTGTTTTTATATTATAATTGTTATATTATTATAGTTTAATTACTACCATTATTGATATCTATGTTATATTTATTGTTGTTATTATCACTATTTTTATTATTATTGAATTTGACAGGTGTTTACTTCATATTAGTACTCACTACTATTTATTTATCCTTTGTGTAAGAACTTTTATTCAGAAATATATTTGATTTGATTTTGTATGAGGAAGCCAAATTTGTTTTTCATTTGATCATTGGAATGACATTTTCTCTTGTTTAATTCCTTAATTTATTATTTTAATTTTTATTTTTCCATTCCTTAAACAAAATAAAATAATAAATGTAAACATATCATGTATAGATAAGTTATGAATTCAAGAATAAAATACACAGATTGTAAATACTTAGTAAGTAAAATTATAATAATTTGGGAATATTAAAATATTTTCAAATATTAAAAAAAACAAAAAAAAAACTAAGTACTAGTTAGATGATTGACACTCAACAATGGAATAAGAGATAAACAGTGAATTCTCGCTATAAAAAATCACATGCGATTTCTTATAGCGAGAATTCACTGTTTATCTCTTATTTCAATTGAGCTTTAACTCAATTCTTGTCTCACATATCCTGATGTATCCTCACAATTCACATATCCTGATGTATCCTCACAATTCACATATCCTGATGTATCCTCACAATTCACATATCCTGATGTGAGCTGAGAATTGAGTTAAAACAAGAAGATGGGCGGTTAAGCGCCAAACCAGCCAATACAACAAAATTGAAAAAAATTAGTTAATATTCAAAAATGATTTATGTAGTGTTTCTTTGCAAACGCCAATATACTATACTTAAAATTTTTAAGTGAATTGAACTGCAATTACTTTTAATTTTTTTGGTTTAGTGGCTTTTGTTAAAAACTTTTATACTTTGCATATAATTATCTCATTTCAACATATTCATTGTATATGGTGTTTTGGCACTAAGTCATCCAAAACTAGTCAGAAATCACTCATATTAAATAGTTTAGTTGTAATTAGTTTTAAAATATTAAAATTAATTTTGAAATATCAAAAAGGAGCACAAAAAAGGAGGACACTGATCAATGAAGGATAGGGCCTAAAAAAGGAGGAATATTCTTCCAAGAAGAGGACCATTGATCACCTATGTTAAATGAAAGGCTATCAATTGCAATAAGATTGTTAGTGTATCGGTAATAGTATCTTTTGCTTGTACAAAATTTCTGATATCTTTTTGGGATGAACTTTGAACTTTTTTTGTAGGATTTAATAATGACAGTTTTATTTTATGTTTAAAATTCTAATCTTTAAATGCTTTTGCATTTAACATTGGTGCAAAACTTCCTTCCGGTGCCTCCTTTGGTTGTTACAATGATGTTACAAGTTTTGCATTGAGATGTTTAATTTACTTTGGTCTTTCAAAAATGTTCCCAAACAGGAGCATTGGTTTCAAATTCTTGAAAAATTATTTTAAATTTTTTTTTCTAAATTGTTTTGAAATAATATGCTTCAAATTGCAACAACTATGTGTGAGTTATAATGGTATGCATTATTAACATTATAAAAAACAAAAATAATATGGATCCAGAATACCTGCACCAAATAGATTCCGATCCAGATCTCAAAAATATGGCACAGGGACTGAGTATTTGGTTACGGATCTTGGATTCGACTATGCCCTAATAGCAATGTGATTTTGAGTAATTTTAACACTTTCATATTGAAATATTTATTTTATAACTTTTTTTCAGGTTCCAGATAGTTTTGAACGGACTGAAAAGCTCACAGAACTTGTGTATTCAGGAATTCCTCATAGTATGCGAGTTCATGTAAGGGTTTTTTTTTATCTTTTATTTGGTCTTTGTATTTGTCAAAAAAATCGAGCTAATGTAATTAATTTTGATTTAGATATTATGTCTTTATGTCCTTATTTCAACAAATTATAAAAATAGTTAAAAAAAAAATGATAAAAGTAATCTAACTGTTTAGTTGCTTTTTAGTTATTTTTAGTTATTTAGTTAAACGTTTTGGTTTTTTTTAATATGTCAAACACATAAAAATAAATGCATATATTTAATAGGGTTAGGCTTGTGAATGTTTTTTGGCAAAAAAAAGTTTTAAACACGTACCTTAAAAAGAGGTGCTAGTGAATGTGGTAAAAATACAATAATTTGGAATTTATTTGCTTTTTAAAGCATTTTTGACCACTGCGAGGTTGTGAATTTACATAATTTTTTTTAATTATTAGGTAAAAAAAAGTTATTTAGGTTGATCAAAAAAATTTGCAAAAATGGAAAATAGACTTTTAATAGAAAAGTGAATAAAAAATCCTTTAACACAGATTACAAGCCTTTTTTTTAAAAAAACAAACAATTTCTACATAGTTGTAGTTAATCTAATTAATCCAATCAAAGCTGACGATGTAAACATTTTTGTTGTAAGGTTTAAACATTTTTAAAAACAATTATCATGGAACCAATTATTACGGAACCTTATTATGAAATTTTTTGGTTAAAATTTCTGTTTTAGAAAAGTATAGATGTTATTAACAATCTTTAAAAATATGTTAAAAAAGTGTAACCTGCATGAAATGAGTAAATATAAAACACATTTTGAATATAATAATATTTTTTACATAATATCTTTATTTGATTTTCATGAAAATTCTAAGAAGAAATTGTAGCCATGATCGACAATTTTCTGCATCACGTTTTTTTCTCTAAAAAGAAGTATAACACATACATAAGAAGTATAACACCAATACCTTTTTTTCTTTAAGAACAATGCTTTGACATTTTATTAGGAGTGGTCAATTTTTCAAAAAAAAAATTGTTAATTGTTTTTTTTTTGTGAATATAAATATATTTTAATTATTTTATGTAAGTATTCTGTATTCAGCTATGGCCACGATTAAGTGGGGCTAGTCGGAAGAAAAGAGAATCTGAGATGTCATATCGGGTAATTTAAATTTGATTTACAATATCTTTTCAAATTTGATGTGTGTATAAATTTTTTTAAAAATTTTTTAAAAGTTGCTGTTATTGAAGTTATAATATTTTATGACTGTCTTTTAGATCATGACAATATATGAATCGGTGAATGTTAAAAGTGTGGAAGTCCAACTATGTAAACTTTTGGGAAACTAAAAAAAACTGTATTTTCCTCTGTAGTAAATTTTTGTTATTGGTTTAATAATTTTTTTTTTAAAGATTAATTTTGTTTTTCACCTTCAAAAGAAAAATTATTGAACTATTAACAAAAATTTACTACTGGGAAAATTGCAGTTTTTTTTAGTTTCCGAAAGTTTACATTACTGGACTTCCGCCCTTTTAACATTCACCGATTCAGATTATGTTTGTTTCATTTTTTTCATATTAGAAAATTCAAAAGAGTTCCAAGTCAGACAAAAAACTTGTTGCAAATCAAGTTGAAAAGGTAAACAAAATTAAAAAAAAAATTTTTTTTTTTTAATTTTTGGATAAGACCTTATTTATTATTATTTTTACATCTTTAATTAAGTTTTAATTTGTAAATTAATGTTACTGCATAGCAATGTGATTTACAGTAACCTTAACACTGTCATGTTGCATTATTTATTTTATAACTTTTTGCAGGTCCCAGATGAAAAGATTGAAAAGCTCACAGAGCATTTATATCCAGGAATTTCTCATAGCATGCATGTTCATGTGAGTTTTTTTTTTTCTCATCCTTTAGATTAAAGATAATACACATCTTAATGTCACTCAAAGAAATCAGTACAAAAAAACTTGTTTATTGATTGTTTTTTGAGTGACATTGAAGATGATCATTTAACATTATTAAATATGTTGGTGCATTGAGTTCAATGCTTTTGTTTCCTTTATATCATTTTACATTCCCAACCACACCTTTAAATCACATCACATTCACTACCACACTTTTCAATCACACCACATTCATTACTGCACCTTCAAATCACATCACATTCACTACCAAGCTGCGATTAGATATGCTTTAAAATGTGAATAAATTTGAAATTATTTTTATAACATACTTGATTTCCTTTCCTTAAAAAAATTTTAAAACTCCAAGAAAGTCATTTTTCTCATAAGTCTAACAGTAAAATTAGTCTCTAATTAAAACTTTAAGTCACTTTAAGTAATCATAGTAGAAACAAACAAGGTGTAAAATAATTATATATATTTTTTAATTGTTGATTACTCAGCATCATCATTCAATAATTTGTGTGGAGAAAAATTTAATTAAAGCCATGTAAAAGTAATGAATGCCAGATTAATTTCAAAAGTCCCCAAATGTTAAAAATAAATTTAGAAAATTTAGTTTTCTGTACTCTATCTCTGTTCAATTTAATATAAACTCCTAAATATTAATTTGATATCAGTTTTTGCATTTAATTTTTAACTCCCTACATACCCCTTTTGACATTAAATTAGTTTCTTTTTTTTCTTTTTTTTTTGCTGAAAAAAAAAGAAAAAAAAGAAACTAATTTAAATTTTTAAAAAAATTTTTATTTTTCAAATTGTCAGCTATTTTAACCATTAGTCGATGTAATTCTTTAAAGATTTTGTCAATTAAAAATCTATTTGTTATAAATTACCCTGTAATAGAGCTTTGAGCTTGCTATTTTGTTGTTGTTTTTTTTAAGTTTAAAGTTCTTGTTCCGCATTCCAAGCTTTTTTTATATAAATATAGAATATATTATAGAAATGTATAATATAGAAAAAAATATATATATATAAAATAGAATTAGTAGTTATAATATTATAGTAGTATAATAATATATAGTATGATAATAGAGCAATATAGAAAAGTGAAAACATTTTTTCTTTTATTTTGTATTAACTAAATCATATTCTTTTTGATCACAATTTAATATTTTTATTTTAATACAGTTGGAGGAGATCTAAGATTTACAAGCTTCTACCCTCAATAAAATAGAGGAAATTGTTTCTTTATGGATAAGTTGCCTTTACCATCACTAAGTAAATGCACCTGTCCCAATCTTTATCTATCAAAGTATTTAATCTTTAATTATCAAATTTAGCAAAATTTAAAAGTATGTTTAAAAAGTTTAAATAAATAAACTGTAACCTGCATGAAATGAATAAATGAATAAAAAACATTTAAAATATAATATTATTTTATGCATATTTTTATGAAAATTCTAAGAAAAAAAACCTAGTCATAAAAAACTTGTTTAGGGACTGTTTTTCAATTGTCTGTACAAATGAGCAAAAACCATTTGTCTCTAAAGTGTATAGAAGTATAATACAAATTGGCCGGGCCAATTTGTATTATACTTCTATCGCTTTAGAGACAAATGGTTTACTTAACTAAATATTATACTTCTATACACTTTAGAGACAAATGGTTTACTTAACTAAATATTATACTTCTATACACTTTAGAGACAAATGGTTTACTTAACTAAATATTATACTTCTATACACTTTAGAGACAAATGGTTTACTTAACTAAATATTATACTTCTATACACTTTAGAGACAAATGGTTTACTTAACTAAATATTATACTTCTATACACTTTAGAGACAAATGGTTTACTTAACTAAATATTATACTTCTATACACTTTAGAGACAAATGGTTTACTTAACTAAATATTATACTTCTATACACTTTAGAGACAAATGGTTTACTTAACTAAATATTATACTTCTATACACTTTAGAGATAAATGGTTTACTTAACTAAATATTATACTTCTATACACTTTAGAGACAAATACACTTTAGAGACAAATTTTTTATACAAAGAATGGTCACTGAATATTTGTACTAATGCGCCATTTTGTTTTTAGTAATGATTTTAAACATATAAATAAGAAAATATAACAATAAAATCCATGTAAGTGTAATGGGTGGTGAGTTGAAAATTGGACAAGAGATGTTACTCTCTCATTTTTAAATAATTTTCAAAAAACTAATAAGATTTGATTAAAGCATCACATTCTTTATTGTAAGAAGTTCAATTAAGTCATGTTGTTGAACAGAATCAATGAGAGCTGAAACCTGTTGTGCAAAACGTTGTACACTGACCACTTCTTTGACCACTTCTTTGAGATATTTCTTTTTGCACAGATGATCTACACTTTCCCAAAAATTTAGCAATATCTAAATTTTTGGGATAGACCTTATCTTTTAGAATGCTCTAAAAATTTTCAATTAGACGCAGTTCTGGAATATTTTGGGTCTTCTTTTCAGACAAAATATACCTCTATTTACCTTTTTGGCCTGAAGTACAATGCATTGTCCAAAATGTAACACTTTTTTGTAACTTTTAACAAAAAGTTTTAAATTTTAAAAAAAGTTCAAACTTTTAAATTTATTTGTAGAGAAATAAAATTAAAATAATTAGTAACTAATGAAAGTCTAAGTTGTTAATTACTATTTTTATTGTGAATATAAGTTTTTATTTTATGTAAGTATTCTGTATTCAGCTATGGCCACAATTAAGTTGGGAGAATAGAGAATTTGAGCTGATATTGCATAGTTTAAATTTGATTTATAATTTTTTTCAATTTTGTTTATATGTTTGATTTTTAGTTATTTATTTTTAAATACATTTGTGAATTTTCTTTCATTGAAGGAAACAAGTTTTTTTTAATTATTTTTTATATTTAATTATTTTATTTTTTTTTTATTTTAGAATTTTCAAATTAACTCTGAGTCTGATACACTTGTTGCAAATCAAATTGAAAAGGTAACAAAAGTAAATTCGTGTTTTTTATTTAATGTATTTTATACCAGCAGTAAGTGCCCCATAAAATTTTTCAGTACTGATTTTGGTAAATCTAATACTTGAGTAAATAATCTAATGGTGCTCCATTAATGGTGCACAATAGCTCCAACATATACCTGCATGTACAATATTCACAATGTTGTTTTTAAATTATTTTATCTTATCTAAGGGTGATATAAAAATATTATAACACCCCTACTATTATTAAACTTGAACCAAAGTAACCAAAAATATTAAAAATAAAAAACTAACACCACCTAACTGTTTCAATATATATTTTACAAATATTTGTAGTCTTGGAAGTAACTTTCTATCACCTGAATTTTACCTCTTGCAAAAGTCACTAGACTTGCAAGCTATTTGTGAAACTAATTTGAATTTGACTGTTTCTTCTTCCGATCTCAGTATTGATGGCTACTTTGATTCACAAAGACTGTAAAAGTACATGCTTAGCTTGAGCGTATACTTACGCATAAATTCACATATTTGTTGAGAAATCAGGTTTTAATCATTTGACCATTGTTTTATGTGCTTCTGCTTAACACCCCTTCACTCTTTGTTGCCTTTCTCTTTGTTCTTTATTGCCCTTCTTCTTCTTAAGACTTCACTCTTTTAAATTTAATTTCCGATCAAATTGACCATGCCCTTTTTTTTTTATCCCTATGCCAATATTATTGTTTTTGGTGACTTAAATGCTCATTGGTTTGAATGGTTAGGCTTGTGATCTTCGAATCACCACTAGCCTTGCTTGCACTAAAACTAATAATTTCTGTATTTCTCAATCTCTCACTCAGATAGTTAACTTTGTGGCTTGTTTTCCAAACAAACATAATTAACTTCTTGACTTGTGTCTTGTTTCTTACCCTAGTTTTTTTCAGTTTCTTATTGTTCTCTTATAAGTAGTTCTAACTATGTAATCTCTAAAAATCTTTTATCTTGTACTTCTTCTATTGACTCACCCTATAATTCCACTACTTACCCTAAAGCTGACTAGGATTCTTTTTGTGATTTTTTTTGGTTATTGCAAGAAGTCAATGTAAAAAGGTGCTATCTGATATTAAGCTCCATTATTTCCAGTTTAGTATGTCTCATATCTTATCTTAGAAGTCTATCTTCTCTTAGAAGAGATTTTTTAGAAGTCTATCTTATCTTAGAAGAGATTTTTTAGAAGTCTATCTTATCTTAGAAGAGATTTTTTAGAAGTCTATCTTATCTTAGAAGAGATTTTTTAGAAGTCTATCTTATCTTAGAAGAGATTTTTTAGAAGTCTATCTTATCTTAGAAGAGATTTTTTAGAAGTCTATCTTATCTTAGAAGAGATTTTAAAAGATCTTAAAAAGCTCTAGAGACTTTTGGAAAATCTTAAACAATTTTGATAAACGTCTAATTTAACAGGTGTATTTCAAATAATTTTTTATTCAAATAATTTTTTTATTGAATTAGTTTTTTTTAAAATTATAAAGAGGTTTTATCTTCAAATAACTTTTATTAGCTTTTGTTAGTTAATGAGTTATAAGATATATCAAAGATGCTTATTGAATTGTATCAATTTTTTTATTATTTTAAAACAATTATTCATACATTTGCAAAGTGTGCGTAAATTAATGGTAACTAAAATGCAATAACTGTAAACTGTTATCCAATAATACAAAATAGTGAATTTTTCTCCATTACGTTAAATTTATTTACTCTCAAAAAGCGTATAAATTTGAAGAAATTAAAACGAAACAGGAATTAAAAATAAAATAAAAGTTATTTTAACATTTCTTTTTTTAAACCTTTAAAAATAATAATTATATTATTGGTGTTAAATGCACAATAAAAATGAAAACTATAATAAACATAATATTTCGATATATTCTATTAGAATATATATTTCAGCAAAGCTTTAAAAATCTTTTTAAAACTTTTAAAAGTGTTTTTAGTATGCAAACAAACTTTAACAATTAAAAAGAAAATTTGAAAAAAAAGTATGCTTTTGAAGAAAGCAATGTTTTAGCATGGTTTCTTAAGTAATTGCAAATGTATTCATTTTAACCAAAATTTTACATTCTTTTGTAAATGCATATAAAAACCATGCCAAAACATAATTACTTTCTTCAGTTGCGTACTTAGTTATTTAACTTTAAAGTAATGCTATTGAAGAAAGTAATCATGCTTTAACATAGTTTCTTAGTTGTTGAAAATGTGTTTTAAATTTTAGTAACTAATTTTTTTTTTAATAATAAATAAAAAAATATTCTTCTTCTTTTTTTGATCGCTTAGAACAGAACTCATACTCCAGAAGGCGCTTGTAGAGTTGTAGATCATTCCATGGTGAATCAACAGTCTTCTTACATGCGAGCCACCACACACGATAGACATGTGTAATAAATGTGACAAAACAACGCACCTTGGTTACTTGATAATGATAATGGTTCCTGCTAGCAGTTCTCCAATTTGCATCTCACAGAGTGTAATTTTGACGCTGTAGATGAGCTTTGCCATCCATTGAGCCTTATGCAGAGCACCAGGTCTCTGAAATTTCAGAGACCTGGTGCAATATTTTTGATATTCCTTTATCAATGAATGGTAACCATCCCACTGAGTCCACTTCTTTATGGCTTTTTGGATTACTATTTACTTCTCATGAAAATCATATATACAATCAAATGCAAAGTTAGCATCTACTAAGATTCATTCTATTTGTGTCTTACTCCTGATTCCATTCTCTACAAATCTCTTATTCTTACTCCTGATTCCATTCCCTACCTCTTCAAATCTCTTATTTGTCATTGTATGGAATACTGTTGTCATATTTATTCATACATATTTAGGCTAGTTCTTCTAATGATGCTCTTTCTCTTCTAGAAAATTCATTGTTATCCAAAAATGCATTGTTAATGTATTTGGTCCTGCTTTACCTGCCAAACTTGAGCCTCTCATTGTTGTAAGGTTTTATATTATTCTATTTTCTACAAATAGAATTGTGGTCGCTGGACCATTATTCTAATTGTAATAATGCATCTAAATGATGATGGATTCTATTTTTTATTTTTTGAACATGAATTATAGCTTAAATAAGCTTTAATTCATGTTCAAAAAATTATTTATAATTATCTAGTTTTTTTCCAGCCACTTCAATCATTTGGAATCCTCTCCCATATTCAACTCATACAACTCTCAAGTTTTCAAATCTTCATATTTTCCTGACTCATACAACCTTTAACTTTCAGGTCTACTGTCAATGGTTTCCTTGCTCTTTAACTCTATTCTTTGTTTTCTTGTAACTCCCATTTTAATATTTGTTGCTTGCAGTTTTTTTTGGAAACAAATTAGGTTTAAATAAAATAATAATAATAAAATAAATTAGAAATGAATACAATATAGAATACAATATAACAAATATAGAAAAAAAAAAAAAAAAAAAAAATACTGTTATAGTTAATATGTCTCAAAAAAAAAAGTAAAAGATTATTAAAAAAAGCAAAAAGGATTATTTTTAATACATTGCTAGGTTTTCCTTAAAACTATGTTGTTTCACATGAACACCTAATACTTACTTTTATTTATTTAAACTAGTACTGTATAATAGTTGTTACAGTATAATGGTTTGTGATATTTCATTTAGTTTCTGATATATTATCTAGTTTGTAGTTTTTTTGTAGTTAGCTATTAACCAGCACCCTTTCTTCATCTAATAGGCTGGTATAAATATAAACTGGTATAACATTGTTCCTGCCTAGGATGATTATTGCTAGATCATCTTAAATCTGATCATGGATTTTTGTTTATGTTTAAGTGGTTTAGAGCTGCATTATATAGAAACATCAAACATCAGGAATGAGGAAACTGCATAGCTTATTGCTTATGGTGTCAATCTCTTTCTATTTTTTTAATATTATTAAAAAATGAGAGAACCTGGCACCATTAGCAATAATCTACTGAGTAATCTACAGCAGTAAACAAACTAAATTGTTTACTGCGATAGATTACTAAGTAGATTCTCAGTTGACTCAGTAGATTACTTCTAATAATTGTTGTAATGTTCTAGATGTTCTTATATTGATGAATGGCAGCATTCTTCTACTTTAAGACTTCTTAGTCTTTTACTTTATGTCTTGTCATATTGTTTTTTAGTACAATTCATTGTTAAGATATCATTAAACATCAATATTTGATCTTGTGGTTCAATATTGTATCTTGTGATCTTTGATATTGATCTTATGGTTTAAAAATAGTCTGGCTGTTAAACAAATACATTTTCTATGTTACAATATCTACTTACTTTTAAATTTTGTGATTTAACCCCTTTAGACTATTTCCTTTTCGGTTTTTTTAAGCAAATACATAAACAAAATGTTTAATGTTCCAAAAACAATTGAGGACCACAAGTTTAAGATTATTTAGGTTATTAATGAAATACAGCCAGCATGTGAAATTGTAATTGAAAATTTATATATATATATATGTATGTATATATATATATATATATATATATATATATATATATATATATATATATATATATATATATATATATATATATATATATATATATATATATATATATATATGTATATATATATATATATATATATATATTAGTAGAAAATCACTTAACAGTAAAATTTTCATTTTACACTGTGTTTTTTACTGAGAAGAATTGTGTTTTTTTTTATTATGATACACCACTAGAAAGATTACCTTTCAAAGTTTACAAATTCCTTTTTCTCTTACCCACAACTACATAGTTGTTTTTATATCAGAGTATTCTAAAGCTTTTTTCCCCTAGGTAAGCTAGGTATTTATTGTTGTAACAACAGTTTGAAAAAAGCCTTCTTTACTGAAAGCCTTCTTCACTGAAATAGCTTTCCTCTCCTTAGGGAGCTGAATACAGTAAAAAGTAATTAAAAAAATCACTCAATAAAAAAAAAAAGTTAATAAATAATTATAGATATAAGAATAAGTAAAACATGTTTATTTAAAAATCAATAATTTTATATTTAAAAGTATTAAATGTAACCTTTTTAGCAAATGTAACTAATTGCAATCATTAACTGATTAACAAAAAAAAAATCTTATATTGTCAAAATGTTTTTATTTTTTATAATTGTTTATTTATAATAAAGTAAAATTATTTTTTTTACATTACATATAAAATATAGAATACTCTAAAAGTTTTAAAAGTATTAAAATTTTTTAATATTTCAAAATAAGGATTTATGTCGTACAATGCCAAGCAATGCATGCTTTGAAAATATGGACAGTATTGGGATACCAAAACTCAAAAGAGTACTTCTAGCAATTGCATGGTTATACCCTGATATTGGTTACTGTCAGGGTATGGGAATGGTAAGAATTTTTTTTAGCAGTTTTTTTAATTTTTCTTAGTTTTATATTAGTCTTTCATTATATAACTTTTGTTAAAATTTTATAAAATAAGGTTGTTGGAAATCTTTTACTTTTTTTGGAAGAAGAAGATGTTTTTTGGATGATGGTGGCCATCATTGAAGATCTTTTACCTTCATCATATTATTCTTCATCTTTGATTGGAGTACAAGTACGATTTTTTTTTCTTCTAAAGTTATTCTTATCTGTTCCAATAAATTTTTACTTGTTATAATTTAGGTTGATCAACGAGTTCTGAGACAATTAATTGTCGGTTATCTTCCACATTTGGATGAGTTAATGAAAGAGCATGATATAGGTTTTTGTTATTGTTTTTTGTTATGTAGTTTGCAATTTGCACTTCTTTTCTTTAATGTTTTTAAATATAAAGGATATAAGGCATAGTAATATAAAGGCTTATATTGCCAAAGTCTTTTGCATTCATAAATTGTGGTAGTTTCTTTTATAGAATTAGGTTTAATTACACTCCATTGGTTTCTAACTGCTATGTCAAGTGTTTTTGACATTAAGGTATCTATTTATCTATATTTAGAAATTAGATAATTTTATATTTATATAATATAGTTTTATAGTAAATGCATAGATGCAATAGTTTTATAGTAAATGCATAGATACAATTACCATTTTTTTTGTAAAAAAAACAACTTCAAAACTAAAAAATCACTAATTCATCAATTTATATACTTAATTTACTACACAAAATTTAATTGCTACATTCTTTAAAATACTCTTGTCTGAAGCTATGCTATTATAAAGCAATTCTTTTATAATCAATTAAACATTACCCTTATTATAACAGAAAGCAAAAAATCCTCTTTTTTTTTTTTGCCAAGTTTTTAAAAGTTTTTACTTTTTTTTATCTTTTTATAAATTTTGCTCTATTTGTTAAAAGTATTTAATTTTATGATATTTCAAAGAAGTTAAAAAACCAAAAAACCTTAATTAAAAAAAAAAATACATATATTATACAAAACCGTTTAAATTTGCAAACATTTATGAGTTAATTTATGAGTCTTTGTTTTATGAAAATAATTTTTTGTGAAAAGAATTGGAACATCCATTTCCAAAGTGGCGTATCACATATCTCCCATAATCTAAGTTAAAATTATTGTTACGAAAGGTACATGGTGTTTTATTTCCAACATTTCTGAAATTTTATATCCTGTTTTAACTATTCATTTCTATTTTTAAAGTATTGTGATCGTTCCAGAGGAAATTTCCTTGACAATTTTTAAAATCCTCAGCTACAGCTGAAATTTCCCCTTTACCTTGTTGTGCACTTATTTGATGTTGGCATGTACAAGATAATATTTTTTGCCAATATAACATTTAAAACAAGAGGATTCTAATTTATGGAATATGAATTAACTGATAGTGTAGATTTATTTTTTAAGTAAATAGGTTTTTGGAGATTTAAACAATGGTGCATATCTTGCTTTTTTAGAGGCTGCTCTTAACTTAGAACTGGTTCCAGGGATCCAAGGTAAAGACAACTTTTTGGAGGCGTTAAGAGATGTTATTGCTTTATTGCTTTTTGTGAGATTTTTTTTTTGTTTCTAACGCTTTCTTCCAGTTTTTCCAGATTTTTCCTCTTATAATCTTTTATAATCTTTCATATTTTCAATATCGATAAGAAATGACACCTTATTATCAATATTAATTATGGTACACTAACATAATGCTCTATGGGCAAAATTAACGAAGACATCATTGATAGTTTTTTGCAATGAATTTTTCAATTTATATTAACTGCGGTAGTGGTGTAGTGGTAGAGCGCTCGCTTCATAAACGAGTGGTTCCGAGTTCGACCCCACCACGTCCCTGGTAGTACCGCGCTCAACTCGTTTCTCAGCGCAGCGGCCTTGTTCGTCAAGGTTCGTGTTTCGGAGTTATAGAGTTGAGAGAGGGTTATAGCCACAAATAAGTAGCCTCCTCGTCTGTAGTGGCCTTCTCGGCCTTGAGGAGGTGAATTAAAATAAAAATAAAAAAAAAAAAAAACCTGTTTTGTAGTGAAATATTAGGATAGTTTAATGTATTGGTTAAATCAACAGATTTAATTGTGTAATTGATAATAAAAGCTTTTGCACAACTTTTTCTACCCAGAACCATGTATCATTAACATATCTTTTAAATATGAAATTGTTGCCCTTTCAAAGAGCTTTCATGTTACTGAACACTTGTTAGACTGTAAAAAACACTTGGCAACTACCACCATAAGAGCTTAGTCCATTGTTCTGGAATTTTTGACATCATAAATATAATATCAATATATAATAATGTTAAATATAATAATGATTGCTTCTTTAATTCTTTGGTCATGATTAAAGAAGTATTGTTTATTATTTGTACAGGTGAAATACTTCAGTTTTATATAAGTTCTGATATTTTAAAATAAATATATTCATGCATATTATATTAATGAACAGCAAATGTATACATAAATATATAAAATGAATGTATTTAATAAACAACAAATGTATGCATAAATATACAATCTATTACATATTGTTCTATTCATTCTAGCTTCAATAGCCTCTGCTGATACTGTTCTTTATTTGAATAATAAAAAACTCAATACTCAACTGGGTTAATTGCCCAGTTCACTTATGAGTTTTTTATGAGTTATCACTTATGAATTTTTCTTAAATTAATGTTACAACCTGCTTATAAATTTGAAGTGTTTTACTAAAGTAAAAACTAAATAAAAGATGTTGAAATAAAAGACCAGGTTTAGCTAAATAAAGCAACATGGATAAACAAAAATTTTCTGAAAAGTTAAATAATGCAACTTGGGTAAACAAGTAAACATTTTTAATATTATTTAAACACAAATGATCAGGGGTTATCTTTTTCCAGATATATTCAGAATTTCAGATATTCCTTACAACTTTAGGTTTTTCTGGATTTCCAAAAAGTCTTCTATAAGCACAAGTGTAAATAATATTTTTGCAATATATGTGTTTTTAAACTTTTCAAGTCATTACCCATACAAAAAAGATACAAAGTTTTGAAAAAAAATTAAAAAACCAATAGTTTTAAGTTAAATATGAGAGAAAAAATTTCCGCATTTTTTTTGCAAAATGTTTTCTGGTTTGTGTTGTTTTGGCTAATTTGGATTGAAGTGTTTTGGTTCTGGATTTTTTAAGTATGATCTGGATTTTTTAAGTATGATTTGATTAAAATAAGTCTGTTGAGACTAAAAATGTTGTATTATGTTTATGCTACCTTTTCCTTTTCTTCTCTCTTTGTTTTGTATACAAATTTTTACTTTGTACCAATAAATGACTGATGAGACAACAAAACATTTAAAAAAAGGTTTAGATTTTTTTTTGTCACATTAATTATGTAGTGCACTGCAATAATATCTAATAGCAATTATTTTACATTAATTTACTGACAACACATGGTAAAGGGGAAAATGCAGCTGTAGCCGAGCATCATAATCTTGCACTATTTTCTGACAACACAACTTAATTGCCAATCTCAACAAAAAGCTTTAACTTTTTAATTGCTTAGATAGGCAGCTAATCTCGATGGTGTGATCTCTCTTCTGTAACAGCTTGGAGCTTGATATGGCTGGTTTTTAGTTTAATTTAAAAACTTTATTTTCTGTTGATCATTTACAATCAGTTTTTTAAAAACAAACTAATTAAAATCAACACTTTAAAATATATAAGACAGTACACACAAACAAATATATCGTGGGTTAAAAAATTAAAAAAGTTAATTATTGTATAATAATTTAAAAAAGTTAATTATTGTATATTGTATATATATATATAAATATGTAAAAGTCAGGAATAAAATAAACAAAGTTTTACTAACTAAAATAAGTATAACATTATTTTTTACAAATTTTATGAATGCAAGATTTCCAGTACCATTTTAAAATTATTTTTTTAAACTCCTTTAGACTATGTACCAAATGTTTAGAATGTTCCATGGCCAGATGGCTCTCTATAAGTTATGTGTTTATGTTTAGAGACAATGGGTGGTAACATTAATATTTACAAAGGTCTATTGGACCAGGGATTTTTTTAATAAAAAGATCTGATACAAACTCAGAGTTTCATTAAAAGATTGAAAAACTTCAGTTAATAAAAACTGCAAGTTCCTGAAGTGGATTCTTGGGTTTTTATCTAATTTTAGGATATCATTTAATGAGATCAGATTTCTTGTGGATAATAAGGAGTTCTTTTTTATGAATTATATTTATAAGATTGTTATCATCTTTTGAGCAAAGCCTGTAAATCAAAGGACAGGATGAAAAACTAAACAATACAAAACCATGAAATAAAAGAACAGCTTTTTTTTCAGTAGAAAAGAGTTTGCTATTTGCTTTCTCACATAAACTTTTAATATGATCATCAAACTTTAAATCTTTTTCAACTGTGAGAAGTTTAACCTTAATAGAAGCAAAGGCCTTAACATTACCAAAATTTACAAACAGACCATCTCAGTTTCATTATATTAAAATTGAAAGAATTTATCATAATTTGCAGCCATTTTGTTAATATATAATATTAACAAAATGGCAGCCATTTTGTTTATATATAAAGCAAACCATGAAACAGCTTTTTCTATTTCTATTTAAAGACGAGAAATAACCCTGTTTAGTAAATAAGTAAAATAGAGTTTCAAGTTAAGTAACTAAGCAAAATTAAGTAACATTAAGTAACCAAGTAACATTAAGTTAACATTACCAAATCAGGTTTGTAGAAATGATGAACACAAATGATAAAGATGAGAAAAATTACAAACATAGAATGTTTGTAATCTTTAGCAAAGTTAGATATATTGGAGTCTTTAATAAAAAGGACAAAATTTTATGAAAATAATAAAGAAAATCTGTCCCAGTAGTAAACCTTTAGGCAATCTAGATTCAATATCTAAAACTCCAAAAAAAAGATCCTAATCTCACCCTTTGTTTGCGAGCAGATAGGTAAACAAAAAAAATAATTGAAAGCTTACATTACAAAAGTGGTGAATTTTAATTCGAGCAAAACTCTTTTAATTCAAGCAATAATCAATATTTCTATCAATATAAAAACTGTCAATATTTCTATCAATATAATAGCTGTAAGAAATCTTACAGAGTCTTATGTTTTGTGGTTTTTTGGATTATCTTTTAATACTGGTCTCTCATGAAAACTTTATATACAATCTAATTAAAAATTAGCATCTGCTAAGGTTGCCTCTCTTATCGTAATCAGCATTTCTAATTCTTGATTCCATTCTACCAAATGTAGTTGGACCTGTTCTAGCTGCTCAGTTTCAGCCTCTGACCCATCATAAAGTTGAATTGCTTTCTCATTTCGACAATATTATCATGGTTGCTGTTGAAAGAAGCAATTACCTTCCATCAATTAAAACTCAATATTATGTGACTTGTCATTCAGCAAAGTTGCATCTTTTTAATGTATCTGTCCCTTAAATAGTTGTTGCTTGCAGTTAGCTTTAAAAAAAAGATTATAATAACTTATGGCTTAAAAATTTATTGTTAATAGATTTTTTTTTTAATTTAAATGAAGTTTATATTTCTTTTACAATGCTTTGTTATCAAAGTAATTTTATTAACAATTTAGATTTTGCTGCGAGTTTGGGATATTTTCTTCTATGAAGGATCAATAAGCTTGTTTAAAATCACTTTGGGCATGATGAAATTTAAGGTATTTGTTTTTATGTTTTAAAATTTGTGTTTGTATAATACAACATGATTTTAAAATCATATTTGCAATATAGATTTTAAAAGATTATTGTGTCAAGTTTGAAAGATCGAATTTGTATTTTGGGGTTAAAGTGATCATTTTATTATTGAGTATGGGAGATCAAATTTTTACTGTTAAGTTTAAAAAATATATTTTTTTTGAGTTCAGGTTAATTAGAGTGTATTGAAGTCTAGGAGATTATTTGTTTGAAGATTTTTCAGAGAAAGTTTGTTGAGTAGTTATAATTGTTTAAGAGATCAAGTATTTATTATTACTTAGCAGCTGTGGTATAATTTAAAAAAATATCATATTAATATTTAACAGGAAAAAGCTCTTCTTGCTGTAGAAAATTCTGCTCAGATATTTAATATGATGTCAAATCTTCCTGGAGAAATTGTTGATGTTGACCTTCTGTTGGAGTATTCCAAAAAAGCAGCTGCTTCTCTCACACAAATAATTTTAGACACTCATAGAAAAAAGCATCATTTGTTTCTTTTAGCTGAAATGAATCAACTTGATGATAATAGTAATAACAATATTGAGCCAAAAGAGGTTAGTTTTTTTATATAAATAGGGTGGTCCTGAAAATTTTAATATGAGCAGGGTGGTCCTAAGTTGTTGAGTTTTGTAAATAGGAAGCAGTGTTAATAGGTTTCTTTGTTGTATAAAATTATCCATATAAAATATTTTAGGGATTAATTTTTACTTAAAGGTTGCACATGAATAGTTTTCTTATTTTCAATTTATCATAGGGTAGGGTCCTAGGGATTGTAGGGCAGCAGGTTAAATATTTACTTTTCAATAGAAAAAAAAAAATTGATTTTATCTATATTCGGATTGAATTGTGACATCGCAAACAACTCCTACCCCACTTAACTCTGGTTTCACAGTCCATGAAATTGTTGTTTTTTAGATAAGATGGGTTTTTATTTTAGTTGTAATTTTTTAACAAAAAAAAAATTAATAATTGTTGTTTGCAGAATATAATTTTATAAATATAAATTATTATATTATAAATTACAAGTTGTTCAATCTTTTTCTAGTTATTTATGGGCTGTTTTTATGATCAGGGAAAAGGCACCTTCCTTAATTGTAAATCTTTGAAACTAAGATCTTTTCTGTATTTTGCTTTTAAATAAAATAACAAATTACTTTTAACAATTGTTTACAATAAAAATGTTTTGTATTATCTAAGAATGTTATATTAAAAATATTATTTAAAAAGTATGTGTTTTTTATGATAAATTTAAATCTTTTAAAACAATATTTATAATAAATTTAAATTTTTAAAACAATATTTATGATAAAACATATATTTATGATTTCAGTATTTATAATTAAGCAACAAATTTCAATAATTATTTTTACTATTTTAGTTTAACAATAAAAGTTTAGTTTTGAAGAAAACTGAGTTGCTTCCTTACCTTGTGTAGTTAAATTGGAAATAGAAAAAAAATGAAAATGTAACAAAATTAAACGTAAATGACAAAGTACACACATCACGGAAAAGTAAATGCACTAATAGCCATGCTTTTTCTGTGTTATGTTTTTTGCTTACAATTTTTTTGTTCTGTTTTTTCTCTATTTGCTTGCATGATTGCATTTATTTTCTGTTGTATTTATTTCTGTATGTTGTATTTATTTATGTATATTTTCTGTTGTAATTATTAATTACTTATTATATATTTATCATATACTTATTTATTATGCGATATTTATTAAAGCTAATAAATATATATTTTAAAAGTAATAAAGTATAATTTTTAAAAATAAAATATGATAGTTGTTATAAATTTGTATGCGGTAGTGGTGTAGTAATAGAGCGCTCGCTTCATAAATAAGTGGTTTCGAGTGCGATTCCCACCACGTCCCTGGTAGTACCGTGCTTAACTTGTTTCTCAGCGCAGCAGCCTTATTCGTCAAGGTTCGTGTTTTGGAGTTATAGAATTGAGAGAGGGTTGTTACCACAAATAAGTAGCCTCCGCGTCTGTAGTGGCCTTCTTGGCCTTAAGGAGGGGAATTAAAAGTAAAAAATAAAAAAATAAAAAAATAAATACATTGATGATAAAGTATTTGTTTTAAGTTGTTAAAATTTTTAGATTCATCGACGCACTAGACCGCCCAGTAAAAAATCATGGATTAATCTTGCATTTGATATTAGCACATCAATTTATTATAATAGTATACTGTGTGGAACTGGAAGAAGTAAGATTGTTAAATAATGTTTTTTATTTTTAAATTTTATTAAAAATGTTTTAATTTTCAACTTTTTTTTTTTATTATTATAGTTGTTTATTATTATTATTATTTTTTAATATGCTATTCATCTCTCCAAGCCTGAGGGGGTCCTTACAGCTGAGAAGCGAACTTTTTATTGTTTTTTTTTTTAAATTATTGTTACAACCCTTAACTCCTTAACTCCCAAATACAAACCTTGAAAAACAACTCCACTATGATTATGAAAAACAAGTCCACTATGATTATGAAAAACAAGTCCACTATGATTATGAAAAACAAGTCCACTATGATTAGGAAAAAGTTCAACAAAGATAGTAATAACAGTAGTAAAACAAACAAGTCCAAAATAATGTGGCATCAAATTGTTAACAGATCCAAAATTAAGATCAAAAAATTAAGAGAAAGTTTCAGACATAGATGAGTTTTTTCCGGGAATTCCGGAATTTCACTTGAAAATTCCTATACTTTTCCAGAAATTTCAGGATGTTTTTTGTTATTAATTTGAAAAAAAATTATATATTTTTACATAAAATTTTAAATTCAACATCTTTTGCATTGAAACAAATATGTTTTCTATAAATAAAATTTTAACAACATCAATTTTCGTAACAGTTTTCTTTCTTTTTTTTTTTGCTTTTTAATTCATTCAAATTAACTTTTTCTAATATTAGAAAAAAAAGTTAAATAATCTAAACTCTGTTTAAAGTTTATGAAAGTTTTTGTTGTCTGTTAATACGATCAATTTTTAATAAAATAATTTTCCAGGATTTTCTGGGGTTTTCGAAAAAAAAAAAAATTTCCGGGATTTTCATTAAGTCAAATACTCATCTATGTTCAGATAAAGTTTCAAATTATCAAAGTAAACTTTTAAATAGTGAAAATTAAACCCTTTGTTAAAATCATTGAAGTTTGAACCTTTTTAAATGAAATATAACTATAGACATGACATGATATTTGTAGTAAAAGAGATATAAGCAATGGTAACACTTTGTGAATGATTATATAGATATGGCTTGAACAAATTCAAAGCAATTTCCATTACACCATAATGATTCAATTTTGACAGCAAAATTTCATAATCGATTGTTTCAAATGCTTTTTGCAAACATCATGTTATTTTTAGAATGAATAATTTTAATTGTTATAAATAGCTAAAATAACTATAGAAAGATTTTCTTGAATAATCAAAAAGGTTTAATACAAGAACACTTATAAAAGCCTTTATTAAAGCGTGTCTCATGTTTATTTTTATTTTATCAAAGCGTGTCTCATGTTTATTTTTATTTTATCAAAGTGTGTCCCATGTTTATTTTTAAAGCTTTTAATATTTTTGCAAAAAAAAAGTGAGGTTTGAACACAAACTTGCTAGATTTTATTTAAATTTTTTTTATTTAAAAGATTATTCAGCAACTTGACTTCAAAACAACTCAAAGAGACTATGTTAGTGTTTAGCTGTGTGAATTGATTTTTAGTGTGCATTGCATCATTTTTGCTTACATTTTATTTTTCATAATAATTAAATGCAGGTTTTTTTGGCATACGGTACCAGGAATGATTTCATTACAATGCAACCTGAAAAAGATAAAATAACAAATATCTTTATTATAATGACTCACTAGTTGTTAGCTTCATTAAAATGACTCTTGTTGTTGTTGTTGTTGTTGTTGTTGTTTGTTTTCTTTGTTGTCTTGTTGTTGGGCTCTTCTTTGTTGGGTGGCAAATTAAGTTTTTATATATTTTTTTAGTTTGGTCCTCTTATTGTGCTACTGTGCATTGTCTGGATTTTGGAGATGTTTATTTTTCTCAAAAGTCTTGAAATATGCATTTATCAAGAATTTTTTTTTTTTTTTTTTAATAAAACATGTAAAATATGAATTTGTTTTTTTAGTAAAACATTCTTCAATTTTAACTGCAGCCTTTGTTAGGCTACTTAACTGCAGTTTTTGTGTAGTATTAATGCGGTAGTGGTGTAGTGGTAAGAGCACTCGCTTTGTAAACAAGAGGTTCGGAGTTCGACTCCCACCATGTCCCTGGAAGTACGGCGCTCAACTTAATTTCTCCGCGCAGCGGCCTTGTTTGTCAAGGTTCGTGTTTCGGAGTTAAAGAGTTGAGAGAGGGTTGTACCATGATTTACAACAAAAAACAAAAAAATTAGAAAAATTAAAAAAAAAAAAAATGAGTAGCCTCCTCGACTGTAGTGGCCCCCTCGGGCCTTGGGAAGGTGAATAATAATAATTTAAAAATAAAAGGCTGCTTAAGCGCAGCCTTTAGTGGTTATGCTACTTTACTACAGCCTTTTTATGTGGTTATAGTAATTAATTAGGTCTCTTTGAACTCAAGATCGACAAAGAAACAATAGTTATAATTTTCACACCCAGGTTTATAAAACTTTTTTAAATTTTCAGTTTTTTAACAGTTGACTAGTCTCAATAATAACTATAGCATAGCTAGTAAATTATATCACATTGTCAAAACTAAGGTGGCATATGCTTAGGTCCACTGGAAAATTTGTAAGAAATTTTAACCTTTGTGTTACAAATTTTTTTAACCATAGCTTTGTGTTACACACACAGACATATTTATATATATGCATGTATGTTTATTTTTTTAATTGTAAAAGATGTTTTGTATATTAAATTTAACAATTTTTTTAGAACATCTAAGTGCAATCACCATGAAAGCAAAAAATGTGTTGCAAACTGGTGAGTGTTATAAAAATTTTTTAATTTTTTTTTTAATTTTAATTTTTTTTTTAAATTTTAAGTTTTTAAAAGTTTATTTAATTTTTTTTTTCTTTCAGAAATATTGAGTGATCTTAGAGAATCAATTTTTTTGATAGCTCGTCATTTTGATTATAAAGGAACTAAAACAGTAATTTTTTTTTATTCTATACATTGTAACAAATGTTTTATTAAATCTTATTAAATTTAGTAAGGCTGTCCATGCTTTGACAAATATTATAATAGTCACTCATGTAAGCTCTCAATCGTTATACAAACTTTGCAGACCAGAAAATTCTTGACCCCATGCATATTAGCTCTTAAGAAATCTTTCACCCAAATTTTTTGATATCAAGAAACTTTTTAAAGAAATGTTATAAATAATTTCTCTTACCATTAAGTCTTCAAAAGTCAGCAAATTTTTTTTTTTACTTTTTTCAGTTGCTGCTCAATTGAGGAGTTAATCAAAATGTGATTTTTCATTAAAAAAAGTTTTTTTAAATCACATCTTGTTCTTTTCTATGAAATACTTATTTTATAAAAGAAAAAAATTTATTAAATTTTTGTCATATTAAGTGAGAGTAAAAAAAACACTTATTCTTATTAAACTCTATTCTTTATCTTCAACTAAATATTTGAACTATATCAACTAAATATTTGAACAATCAATTGCAGATGTGCAGACCTCATTTGACAAAACACATTTTTAATAAATGAATAGTATTTTAGGTAATACTGATAAGTTGCAAATAAGGGGTTGTCCATAAAGTACGTACGCCAAAAATTCTGAAATTTGACCCCCTTCTCCCCCTGTTGCCATGCGTACTTTTAAGTCCCCACCCCCCATAAAAAGTATGTACATTTTCATGTACCCCCCCCCCCCCAATTAAAAAAAAAAGGTGGAGGAGATGCCCTAGATACTTTAAAAGTATCTAGGGTACCTCCTCTACCTTTTTTATTTCAATAAATTTTTGTATTAAAAAAAAAAAAAATAGGTGGGGGGTGAAAAATGTATAATGTACTTATACGACCCCAAAGCCCTTTGTTAGCAGCAAAGCATTCCAATTTAAAAAACATTAAATATATACAAATATAAATTTAAATATAATTAAATCTTGCAATATTGAAGAGATCGCTTGGCTGAGTGGATGATGTTATGGGCAGTGACAGCTGAGATCCGAGTTCGATTCCCAGTAAAGTCTTATTTAACTTTTTCTGTTTAATGAGACGCATCAAATAAAAATAAACTATACTTAAGGCAGACGTTTTTTTTCAGGCACCCCTCTTTAGTAAGTCTGTAAAATTTTTTTAAACTTTTGAATGCAATGCATTCAAAAGTTTAAAAAAAAAACAACTTTATTTTCTCAACTTTTAAATGGATGACATCCAAAAATAACAACAACAAAATATCAAAAAGGAAATCTATTGTTTATGTTATATTTAGCAAAAAGAGGATAATTAAATATACAAAAACTTTTATAATTATATTTGATTTTATTTACAAATGCAGAAGTTTAAATTACAAAAACAAAGTTCATAAATACAAAAATTGTTTTTTATAATATACAAATACAAAGTTTACGGTAACTTTGTATTTGTAAATTAAAAAGTTTTAAAGCCTTAAATAATATTTAATAACATTTATTAAATATATTTATTTATATTTAATATATTTATTTAAAAATATTTATTTAGATATTTATAAAAAAAATAACATTTATTTATAATTAATGCAAATTTAAATCACTATAGTCTTATTTAAAAATTATTCATAAAAATAATTTAATTATAAAAATTATAATATAAAATTAGATAAGCAAAAATACAAATATCTTTAAAAAAAAGTTCAACTTTCTTTTTTATGATGTCAAAACTTTTAGTTTTAAAATAGTTAATTAGTTGTTTTAGCTCTTTAAAAAGTTACAAGAGAATTGTGGGAAAAAAAAGTTTTGTCATTAAAATTTATACTATGTGTATTTTTTTTTTATAGTATAAAAATGAGAATAAATATAAAAAAGATAATATACATAAATAATTGTTTAAAACATTTTAAAACTATATTTAAAAGTGTTGTATGCATTTAAAAAAGAATAAAGTATTAAATTCATTTATTTGAAATTTGGTTGCAAACAATTGTCTTTCGTTCTTGTTTTCTACAAAAATACAATTATTTATAAAAAAAAGTTCAACTTTTTTTTTTAAGTATTTCAAAACTTTTAGTTTTAAAATAGTTGATTATTTCAAAATTTGAATATTTTGAAATTTTTTATACAATATTAAATTTTGAAATTTTTTATATAGTATTTTTTTTTGACAGTTGTCAATTAAAAAGTTGTTTCAGATTTTTAAAAAGTTTCTAGAGGATCGCGAACTGTCAAAAAGTTTTTTCATAAAAATTTGATACTATTAAACATATTTTTTTAAAATTTGTAATATAATAATTAAAATAAATATAAAAGAAGACAATATATGTAAATAAATTTTAAAACTTTTTAAAAACATATTTAAAAGTGATTAACACAATAAAAATAGATCAAAGTATCAAATTCATTCATTCAAGGTTTAATTGCAAACAATTTCCTTCTTGTTTCTCTCTTATACAAATTAACGACACTATATAAATATGAACATCTGGTCTGCAAAGTTTATATAACGATATATAAATATGAACAGGCTTTAAAAGATTGCTCAGAATGAAACAAGTTAAATAATGTAATTTAAAATTTATAAAATATAAAAATAATTTTGTATTCCTGCTAAGAATACAACAAAATATAGAACTAAAAAATTTTAAAGATGCTTATGTTACTTAAAAATGTAAAATGTTTGTATATAATGTGGAATGTTAATTTATCGTATAAATTGAAATAGGGAACCTTAGACGCAAGCCATGGTTTGCTTTAGGCTTTTTTTTTTAACTTTTTTTTTTTGCTTTTTTTATTAGCAAGCCGACAACACTTAAAGATTTTATAACTTTTATTTATTTAAGAGGATTGGGTCTGAAATTTTGGTTTGAAAGATTGGGTTTGTAAAAAAGAATTTGGTTAAATTTTAATTTGAAGAATAAGCTTAAAAGTAGAAAAATAGCTTTATTGCATTTCCATTTGTAACGACACGAAATGTCCTTCTGATTTGTAATGACACGAAATGTCCTTCTGATTTGTAATGACACGAAATGTCCTTCTGATTTGTAATGACACAAAATGTCGTTCTGATTTGTAATGACACAAAATGTCGTTCTGATTTGTAATGACACAAAATGTCGTTCTGATTTGTAATGACAATGTTATACAACTGTTGACACAGCATTATACAACTGTTCAGTGATAAGTATATCTCTCAAAATAAAAATAGTAATTTAATATGTACTAAAATGTACTATTGCAAACTCAAAGAACATGCCCTTACAAAAAGTCAATATACAATCAATTGAATTAAATAGAAGATCACTTTCTGATCTGAATGCAACATTCTGCCAGATTTTAATCAAAATTAGATTGTTTATAAAGCATTAAGGAGTAGATCAAAAGATGCAAAAATGTGAATCCTACATTGAACCATCCTACGTTGTACATATTACCAGTAGCAGGGTGATCATAATGAACCTAACCTGAACTGAATTAGCTAAAAGAAATTACTTCTGTAACCAAGTACACATTACTCAGGAAATTTTGAATATACATTAGAAAAATATACATTTTACTTAAAGGGAAAATAGTAATTAGACTGCACAGTCTGTTATAAGGTTGTAATCTTAGACTGAGCTAATGCCACATTAGGCTTTGTTATGATGCTTAAAAGCATCATGAGAAAAGTTTTAAGTTGTATATTGTTTTCCTTTTAAAACATGTTTTGTCTTGTTTGGTTTAAGCATGTGTTTTGTCTATTTTTAATCAAAAATATAAAAAGATACAGTCTAAGCTTATCTTGGAGAGCATGATATTTTTGTTCAGTATAACCTTTAACTTATATATAATTCATATACAATTCTATATCATGTATCTTAATTTATAAAATTCTATTCATGTATCATAATTTATAAAATTTGTTTAATTATTGTCTCTTGTTATAAATAAATTTATTATAGTTATACTAGTTTTTTATTATTATTATACTATACTAGCGGACCCAAATAATACGGGTCATTGTAAGTCTGTTTCACACCAACCATTTTTTATACTTGTTCTTAATATAGTCACTATACTTCAATAATTTTTAGTAAACAATGAAAAAAAATTCATTTAAAAATCTTGGCTTTGGGTTAACGATAAAAACTGGTGTAGAAAAAACTCTTGATAATTTTTTAGCTCTTATCTGCTTGCTTAGATTAGAGCCCCTACCCCGTTTATTTATTTCAAAAGAAAATCTGTGAATGTAACATCTTTTTTATTTTTGTAACATCTTCCTTCTTTATGGAAGAAAATTTTTTTTTCTCAGTTAGATATGCAGATAATTGATCATGTAAACACAATAATAATGTCTAACATAGCAGACAGTTGCATGATATTTCTCCCTGTGTTTTTTAAATTTTAAATATTTAACAAAACTTATATTTAACAAAACTAATATTTAACAAAATTTATATTGTTTACAAATATTATAGACAACATAACAAAATTAAATATTGTTACAAAATAACAAAACAAAGTATAAAAATAAAAATATAAATTTAACTACACCTATAATTAGTAAATTAACAAACTATAGGATGCTTTTCATTCATTTTACGACATGCTCTCTAGGAGCTCTTTATTTGTTCTATGACATGCTAAAAAAGCATTGTAAGGCAAATCTAAAATGATAAAAGTAATTATAAAAAAAAATGTAAATACAGGCCTTGCGATAAAGCGTCGGGCGATGTGAATTTTACGTCGTCCAAGGGCGATTTTGCGTGTAGCTAGGGCTATTTGCGTCGAGCAAAAAATTTTTTGTTTGAGTATATTTAAAGATATTTTTGAGCGGAATTTTAATGAAGTAATTGACGATTATTTTAACATTTAATAAAGTATTTTAAAAACCGCATGCAGTTGAAATAAAAGTTTGAATTTAAAAAAATTAAATATGCTCATTATTTTCAAGTTGAAAAAATTCAAAAATTAAAAAAAAAAGTTTAAATCTTTTAAGCTAACATTTTAATAAAATTATTCAGCAATAGCAACGTTGTCGATAAAATTGAACAAAAATACTTTCTTTTAGTTTTAGATTTTAAACTTAAATAATTATTTTACAGGGGTTTGATAGGTTTTAAAATTATTCCATAGATTTAAAAATATTTATTAACTGTTAGACGTATTTAAAGTATTTAAGAGTGATTTCGAGGAAACATTTTAAAAATTGGTGAGGGCAAATGAAAAAAAAAAAAAGATTAATATTAAAACGTATTCTACTTGATTCAATGAAAAAGTACAGTTATTAAAATTTTTGTAAAAAGTAACTCAAAAAAATTACTTAAATAATAACGATCGCTTTTATGTTAAAAGTTACCGAAACTCATCGAAGCGTGCTCAAGAACAGCTGCTGAAAAATAGAACGTCAATAGTTTTTCGAATAATTTTTGAGAATAATTTTTTCGCTAAAATATTTCTTTTATACCTATAAGATTTTTATTCTAACATTTTATTTTATTTTACTAGAAATAAAATTCCTTGTTAACATTAAAAATCTATTCAAAACGTTTGTTTAAGTTTTTTATTAATACGAGTGATTGTGCTTATCAACCGCTTTATGAAAATAAATAAAAATAAATAAATAAATATTATATAAAATCGCTTGTAAAAATATTAGCTATTGCACAGTTTTTAATCGTACAATATTAAAATTTCCAGTTTATTACTCGCTGACTTTTTAAAAAGAAAAAATAATTATTTGAAAAACTTTAAATTACATATTTAAGAAAAAAAAAAAATCAAATATTAGCATATTTTATAATCTTTTTTAAATTTAAGTTATAATGTTTTTTATTCGTTTAGTATAGACAAAACGTGACAAACTCGAGAAAATAAACAAATGTTTTTACATTTTAAAAAACGAAACATTCCAAAACATTTTTAAATAATATCATTTCTACATAAACGATTTAAAGTAGTTTTGCGGTAATTAAATAAATTGGTGCAGTTAATGACGATAAATATCAAAAGCAAATAAAAAGAATTTAATGACGTCAAAAATCATGTCGTGCTTATGCGTCGCGCAGCTCTTATTCATCGCAAGGCCTGTAAATATAAAAGAAGTAAAGGCACCACATAAATAATTTATCTGTTGATGTTGCTGCTGTTGTTACTGCTACTGATGTTAATGTTGTTACTGCAGTAATTGAAACAACTTGCCTGGCTATATCATATATCATATATTATAATCTATATTATCTTATAAAAATAGAATTTATTGCACCAACTTATAATCCCATGTAATTGAGAGAGAGAAAGTTAACTAATAAGCAAATTTGTATACAGGCTTAGTGTTTTAGCTGTAAAACAAAAGCTGTAAAAATCCTGTTTTTAATGTTTCAGGAGAAGTTATTTTTTCCTCGATTGTGTAGAATTCCAGTTTCTCCTTAACTGTTGACAAACATTACATAATTGTTGAGCCAAGCATCAGGGTAGTGTAGAGTTTTTGTAATTCACAATTTAGCATTCACCACTTCACACCATCATTACCACCATCATCATCACCACTTCACACCATCAAACATAGTTAAATCTAGTTTTAACTTAAAAGTGATGTTTGCACCAGGTCTTCTTTTACTTTTAATTTTACCTCAAACTCTATCAGTTAATTTCATTTTTAAAACATTCATCATTCTTATCAACACTTTTGTTTTAAATTTGCAAGTAAATATTAAGAGTTTTTTTTGAGATTTATTATTTCATGTTCATCAATATTTTCATAGTTTAGATCTTTTAATCTAATAAACTCAAATAACAAAAATAACAAAATCTCAAATAACAAAACCTCATGTAAATCTCAAATAACAAAACCTCATGTAAATCTCAAATAACAAAACCTCATGTAAATCTCAAATAACAAAACCTCATGTAAATCTCAAAGTTCCCAAATAAACATTAATTCTAAACTTTTGAATGATAAGAGCTAAATATTGAAAATAAATATTAAAAAAAAAAGTATTTATTTTTTCTAATTTTCTTGTATTGCTTTTTATCTTTATCAGTATCCTTTTATTTTACATTATTTTTTATTCCCTGATGACACAACTATGAATTTCCTTAATACACAACTATGAGTTCCCTGGTGACACAACTATGAATGCGATAAAGCGTTGGGCGATGTGAATTTTACGTCGTCCAAGAGCGATTTTGTGTGTAGCTAGGGCTATTTGCGTCGAGCAAAAAAAATTTTGTTTGTGTATATTTAAAGATATTTTTGAGCGGAATTTTAATGAAGTAATTTACGATTATTTTAACATTTAATAAAATATTTTAAAAACCGCACGCAGTTGATAAAAGTTTGAATTACAAAAAAATTAAATATGCTCATTATTTACAAGTAGAAAAAATTCAGATTAAAAAAAAGGTTTAAATCTTTTTAAGCTAACATTTTAATAAAATTATTCAGCAATAGCAAAGTAATCAATAAAATTGAACAAAAATACTTTCTTTTAGTTTTAGATTTTTAACTTAAATAATTATTTTATGGGGGTTTGCTATCGCTAGTAAAAATATTAGCTATTGCACAGTTTTTAATCGTACAATGTTAAATTTTCCAGTTTATTACTCGCTGACTTTTTAAAAAGAAAAAATAATTATTTGAAAAACTTTAAATTATATATTTGAGAAATTCAAATATTAGCATATTTTATAATCTTTTTTAAATGTTTAGTTATGTTTTTTATTCGTTTAGTAGACAAAACATGTCAAACGTCAAGAAAATAAACCAATGTTTTTACATTTTAAAAAACGAAACATTCCAAAACATTTTTAAATAATAACATTTCTACGTTAATGATTTAAAGTAGTTTTGCGGTAATTAAGTAGTTAATGTCGATAAATATGAAAAGCAAATAAAAAGAATTTAATGACGTCAAAAATCACGTCGTGCTTATGGGTCGCACAGTTTTTATTCATCGCAAGGCCTGATGTTACTGTTGTGATGTTAATTGTTAGAAAAACTTGATATCCTAATTTCCATGGCAACATACTACATTTTAGGACATAAATTATCCTTTACCTAAAGTTTTTCTTAAACAAAATGAGAACTTGTTAAAGTTGTCTCTATTATACTTCCATTTTAATTTAAAATTATTTTTTTATTTATCTATTTTTAAAAATCTTCCATAAAAACTAATTTCTTTTAAGAGATTTTTTCTTTATTTTTATCAAGTGATAAATATTTCTTATTTTTTTCGTGTTATATTGTAAAAAAACTCAAGTCTAAATCCTGAGCATCTAAGTATGCTCAGAATTGAGATTTGTGTCTTTCAAATTGAAGAATCCAAATAAAAAGGTTATGTGAAAAATAAAATCTTTAAATAAAGGATTTTCATTTCTTGTATTTGATGGGTATGTATTTTGGTAATGATATTAAAAGAATAACTTTTAATTTTTTAATATCATTACCAATTTTAATAATTATTATTTTTTCTTACTTTATTCAAAAATATTTTAATAAATTAAAAATATTTTTTTTTAGGAACTTCTTCCTGATTACACCACAGAAACAACTTTAAAAGAAAACCATAAAATTAAATTTGAAAGGTATTTTATAAAAATATTGTTTTTTTATTATGCTTTATTAATACTATTAATACTTATTACAATGAAAAATTGTGCTATTACTCTCTAGTCCTTAATACAAGGAGGGGGGATTTATAAAAGAAGGAGGGGTGAATTTTAGTCCAGATATAATAAACTGTGGGAGGGGGTTAGTAAAAGGAGGGGATTTTTTTCTCAAATCTAATAAGAAAGTGGGGAGGGGGTGTATTGATAGGAGAAGGACTTTATCTTCAAAATTATTAGGCAGGGTTTTTTTTTTTTAAAAAAGAAAAATTTTTTCTTGTTCTAATAAACGGAGGGAGGGTTCCATCCCCCAACTTACAAAAAGAATTTTCCAAAAGAAAATGCACGACGTTCAAATCAGCTTTTATTATCATTGTTATATGATAATTATATATGAAATATATAACAAATATATTCAAACATATAAAAATGATCTTTTTAATTAAACAGGTCCTCAAAAGTGTTCCCAATTGAATAATTTTCATCATTTAAGCATTCTCGATTGAATCATGATTTCAGGCATTATATGAACACTGTAATCATTTAAAACATAAATCGCATAATTTAAACCGTGTAAAAAGATTCTGCTTGTTTGGTAAACTAGCTATTGTACTCAGCATATGTTCCAATTGATAGAAAACTTTAGGTGCCCATTAAAACTTTGCATCTTGAGGAGGATTAAGCTTAACCAGAGCACCTTTGCCTTTAAACACAAATTCTGGTTTAACTAAGACTTAAGGGTCCCTGCAAACTTGAGTGTAAACAGTAATTCGAATTCTTGAAGGAGAATAATTTTCTTTGGCGTATATGTCCAAATCAGTAAAGTTCAAGGTTGTTTGAGAAGAATTTTTATTCCCGCAGAGTGGCATTTGGTCACCATTCAGCACAGGTGGATCAACTGTACCTGCATGCTCTAAAATCTTTTATTCATCTAGTTTTTTTCCCCGCACTTCAACCCTTTAGAATTCTCTCCTATATTCATGTTTTCCTGATTCATACAACCTTCAACTTTTTGACATGGTTGACAATCTTCTGTCAGCCATTTCCTTGCTCTATAGCTCTTTTCTTTTTTTCTAGTAACTTCCAACTTAATAGATGTTGCTTGCAGCTTTGTTGGGAGTAAATCAGAATAAAAAAAAAAAAAATTTAATACAGTATTTACGTCCAAATGTTTTTACTGATTCATAAAACATTTTCAAGTGTTTTATGAATCAGGAAAAACATTTGGACATAATTAGTATATCATCAACAAACATTAAGTGTGATTCACCTTCCAACATTTTCTGCAAATGGCTAATGTTTTTAAAAATCTTTACAGGCATTTTTAACTTTGCCAAAGGATATATAGTTATATAATTTAAAATATATAAAAATAAAAATATATGTAAATGTATAAAAATACATATATCAGGCTTGGTCAGGAAGCGGGAGCGATAGCTCTCGAGTACTGACCACGGAAATTATATTTAGTTGCGAAAAACTGGCCAGGTTTTTTAGTCGTTTTGAGAACATTTAAGTTTATTTACGAAACAAAAAATTTTTGTTTTACGGACATACATGGAAACATAAAAAACTTAAATGTTCTCAAAACATCTTGGTGCAAAAGAATAAAAAGAATATTTGGGAACACTAAAAACCCACCAAATTAACGAACAAACTAATTCTATTGGTTCAAAAATACGCTGACTAAGCCAAATAAAATTTTGCAGCATTTTGTTGAAATGTTCTAGAAATTATATTATTCACGATTTGTTACGTTTTCAGATTTCTAGCATAAATCGTTTTAAGAATATATATAAATTGTTTACAAAAATAAATGTTTTAAATATATATTAATTAAATTGTCAAAATTTTAAAAGTTTATTATAAGTTATAGATTTTATTTGTACATTCTTATTTTTTATTTAAAAAGTATGTATTCTTTATGTAAATGTAATTTTGTTGATCTGTTTTTTATCGTAATGTATCTTTTAAAGCAATTTTTATGATTTAAACAAAGACTTACAAAAATAATTGTGTTTTCAATAAAGTTATAATCGTTAAAGTTAATAAAACTAATCATGTAACACATATAAAAAGTTTCTGGTTATTAAACACAAACAACGCATACAAAGTAACTTGCGGATGAACAAGCACCGCGCTTGAGGTCACGACAGAACACAAATATATATAGCAAATAATTAGATATAAAAAAAAGTTTCTAGATATTGGCTTACTAACTCTAATTATTTTCGCTTAATTTGCCATTTTTAAAAACTCGTTACACTTTTTTCTGCTTTAATTACTAATTGAATTACTAACTAATTAAAAAGCCCACTCACTAAACATCATCAGCGATATTGTGAAGCAGTTTCGCTTCCTCGTCATATTTTTAACCTTTTTAGTTGATTTCTATCTTTTTAATTTAATGTCTATAGTAATTCAATGTCTATAGTAATAGTTATTTCATTTGTTTATCTTACTAAGAAGAATTGCTTCAAATATGTTAAACTTTTTAAGCTACGCGAAGCATAAAATAGGTATTAATAAAAATTAGCTTTTTTATTTATAAAATAATTTTGCTTAAATAAAACTAAAACTTGCAAACTTTGTTTAATAAAGAATATTTGTTTCCTTTTTAAACAATCGTAAGAAGTTACTTTAGATAAAAAACATCGCTTAATTTTATAAAAATTTTTTTGTAATTGTCTCTCATCGGTCCAATTAATCTTTAGCGCTTTTTTTTTTTTGCTTGTTAAAATGTTCTCAAAACGACTAAAATATCTGGCCAGCTTTTCGCAACTAAATATTATTTACGTGGTCAGCAATCGAGAGCGATCGCTCCCGCTTGCCGACCAAGCCTGATATATGAGTATATATATATATATATATATATATATATATATATATATATATATATACACACATATATATATATATATATACACAAATAGTATTGCGTCCTAAGGTAAGCAATCTGACGTCATACTGAAATAGCCTGCTGGTAGGGGCTTCTGTACATACATCGACTGACAAATAGCCTGACTCGCAGTGGAGTGCTGCTACATTGACTGAGGTTTTGGGATGGGGAAGCAATCATTTTATTCATCATTCTTTGTTTTTTCTATATATGCACCTAACAAACCTGGAGGGGTTTGTTAGGTGCATGTACAAAACTAGGCGTATATATATATATATATATATATATATATATATATATATATATATATATATATATATATATATACAGGCTTGGTCGGGAAGCGGGAGCGATTGCTCTTGATTGCTGACCACGTAAATAATATTTAGTTGCGAAAAGCTGGCCAGATTTTTAGTCGTTTTGAGAACATTTTAAAAAGCAAAAAAAAAAAAGCGACGAAGATTAATTGGACCGATGAGAGACAATTACAAAAAAAATAAAATTATGCGATGTTTTTTATATAAAGTAACAACTTACGATTGTTTAAAAGGGAAATAAATATTCTTTATTTAACTAAGTTTGCAAGTTTTAGTTTTACTTAATCTAAATTATTTTATAAATAAAAAAGTTAATTTTTTTAATACCTATTTTATGTTTCGCGTAGTTTGAAAAGTTTAACATATTTGAAGCGATTCTTCTTAGTAAGATAAACAAATGAAACAATTAAATCATTGAATTACTATAGGAATTAAATTATCAAGATAGAAATCAACTAAAAAGGTTAAAAATACTTAATGACCAGGAAGCGAAACTGCTTCACAATATCGCTGATGTGCTGATTAGTGAGTGGGCTTTTTAATTTTAATAAGTATTTAAAGCAGCAAAAAGTATAACGAGTTTTAAGAATGGCAATTTAAGCGAAAATATTTAGAGTTAGTAAACCTATATCTAGAAACTTTTCTTTAAATCTAATTATTTGCTATATATATTTGTGTTTTGTCGTGACCTCAGGCGCGATGCTTGTTCATCCGCGAGTTACTTTGTATGCGTTGTTTGTGTTTAGTAACCAGAAACTTCTCATATGTTTGTTACATAATTAGTTTTATTAACTTTAACGATTATAACTTCATTGAAAACGCAATTATTTTTGTAAGTCTTTGTTTAAATCATGAAAATTGCTTTAAAAGATACATTATGATAAAAAACAAATACACAAATTTACATTTACATAAAGAATACAATCTCTTTTAAAATAAAAAATAATAATATACTAATAAAATCTATGATTTATAATAAACTTTTAAAATTTTGACAACTTAATATATATTTAAAACATTTATTTTTGTAAACAAATAATAAATATTTTTAAAACAATTTATGCTAGAAATAGAATTAGTTTGTTCGTTAATTTGGCGGGTTTTTAGTGTTCGCAAATATTCTTTTTATTCTTGCGCTCAAAGATGTTTTGAGAACATTCAAGTTTTTTATGTTTCCATGTATGTCCGTAAAACAAAAATTTTTTGTTTCGTACATAAACTTAAATGTTCTCAAAACGACTAAAAACCCTGGCCAGTTTTACGCAACTAAATATAATTTCCGTGGTCAGTATTCGAGAGCGATCGCTCCCGCTTCCCGACCAAGCCTGTATATATATACGCCTAGTTTTGTACATGCACCTAACAAACCCCTCCAGGTTTGTTAGGTCCATGTACAAAACTAGGCGTATATATATATATATATATATATATATATATATATATATATATATATATATATATATATATATATATATATATATATATATATATATATATATATATATATATATATATATATATATATATATATAAGGTAAGCAATCTGACGTCATACTGAAATAGCCTGCTGGTAGGGGCTTCTGTACATACATCGACTGACAAATAGCCTGACTCGCAGTGGAGTGCTGCTACATTGACTGAGGTTTTGGGATGGGGAAGCAATCATTTTATTCATCATTCTTTGTTTTTTCTATATATGCACCTAACAAACCTGGAGGGGTTTGTTAGGTGCATGTACAAAACTAGGCGTATATATATATATA